CGCCGACATCGCTTGCTCATTGGCGGCTCTGGTCATCGATAGCATGGACCTCGTCATTGGCTTGTCGTCAACGTGCCATGACACCTGTCGACTATGCTCCTCATCATCGACAATGGCTAATCCAGCACGCCGTCAATAAGCTCTCTCGAGTCGAACACAATCTACATTACCAAGCAAGCAAGGCCAAGGTGTATATGTGTATGTGCATGCACGAACAATTCATGCAAACCACATCTCACTGCAACTACTATGCCTATTTGACTACAACTACACGCATGACTCCACGTGTTCATCCAACCGCATCGAGCAGTCCGAGCCCACCATGCAGCATCGCTTCTCCGACCAGATTGAATGCGGCTATGATAATGATCTCTCCATATCTGATCTGCCTAAGGCCGACTAGTGGCATAAGGACAATGTCGTATGGACTACTTGTTCCGATCACTTGCCACGCCGCAATGATCGCCATGTAGAATGGCGCTATGATGACCACGACCGCTGCCATGACGACAGGCTAGAAAGCTCGAGGGCGGGCAATTTCGTCGATGCCGACCAGATAACGTCATACACCACCGATCAGACATTTTGACTAAAGCTAAGTACCTCTACTATATCTGCATTTAATACAACTTTCTTCAATTATTTTCTTCGAGTTTTTGCTAGGCTCCTCCAATTATTATTTCTCTGGTTATTTTCCATAATTAAATGTCTCCACGTTTAATATCTCCGTGTTTAAGATGTTCCATAATGCAATATTCGACCAGTTGATCGGACTGTTCGGCGCTCATTTCTACTCAGCGCTCACTTCGCCGCCGACCAGTTGGTTGGGCTGCTCGGTGCTCGATTCTTCGCTAACCAACTAATCGGATTGTCTGTCGCTTCATCATCAGCTACGCTTAGGGAGAACTAGATGGGAATTTTCCATCATCATCACCATCTACGGCGATGACTCGGCTCCATGAGACGGTGATCTCAACTCAAGGCTCTAAGGCATATCGCTCTTTGTAAGGTTTGATCCGATCTCCTACTTTTATCAAAAAGCCTGGCTTCTCGTGTGGAGTACGCAGGGCGATCTATACCTACCACCAAGGTGCATGTACTCGATCGAGAAAGACAACCAGCCTCAACGGCGCCGCCATGCAGCGTGAAGTCCTATTTCTATGATTCAAACGCCAGATTTCTCCAGAGGTCCAACGCTGTGCTTTGTCGACACTAATTAAGGAGACGGCTACTTGCGGCAAGCCAGCAGCATGCTGGTCAACTTCAAGAATTTGGCTGCATCACCTGACATCGACTCGTCATCATCCTTTGGCGGTGCTCATCAGCCCTCATCGACGGCTCGCGTGGTCCTCGCTATCGACTCGACATTACGAGGCAACTCATGATGACACATTGTGATTTTCACTAAGATCAATGTCAACAAGCAAAGGACGACGTATTATCTACAATACCATGCAAGATAAGTAAACAAACCATCATGGTGCTTTGACTACATCTACATACAGCCTAGAGCATGCATGCAAGAAATAAATTACCTTGCTACCAATCTACACTCACGAGACGTGACTCCAACGTCACCAATCCAAACGAGCTAAGTCATGGTTTTTTCCATTGAATATTCTAACATATATATAACTTTGTCTACCTTGATAACTGTCAATAGCAGCGGCGGCCCTATGCTTTCTCATTTGTTTTCCATATTTTTTCTCAAATTACTTATTTCTCCATGCTAAACATCTTTAAGATGACGTATACTATCGCCATTCAAATCGGACTGCGCCCTCGCCTCGGCCAGACACGCTCAAGGGCTTTGTCTCCCCATGCGAATTGACTCCGTCAGGCTCCGATTACACATGTTTGCCTATGACTCGGCATAGCCACCGTGCTATGGAGCCACCATGCCGCCATGCCACCGTGCCTCGTGCCGCCGAACTACCGAGCTGCCGTGCTGTCGAGCCGCCAAGCCACCCAAGCCGCCAAACGAGCTGCTAAGAGAGCCGCCTGAGTCGTAATCAAGCCATGCCACGCCGCAATGATGACCGCCGCGAAGAACTGTGTTGTGACAACAACGATCGCCGCCATGGCGACAGGCCAGAAAAGATTGAGGGCTGGGCAATTTCATCATCGCCGACCATTCACGTTACCCAAAAGCAGCCATGTCCTCGATTTAGCACCCAAGTATGCATGAGCAGTAGCGCTCCGCACCATGGGCGATCGGCAGCGGCTCCTTGGTGATGCCTATATCCCCAAGTATGCAATGTAGTAGCGCTCTATGCCACGGGTGATCGGCAATGGCTCCTCGATGATGCATATATTCCTAAGCGTGCACAAACATTTAGGATAGAATGCCCCCACGTCTCGTCGATACAGTTCTTAGCACTCTCCATGGTCTCCAATTTTTGCCACGGTCTCCAATTTTTGCCACGATCTCCAAATTTTGCCACGGTCTCCAATTTTCACCATGGTTCTCCAATTTTTGCCATGGTTCTCCAATTTTCACCATGTTCTCCAAATTTTGCCATGGTATAGTGCTAAGCACTCTCCAAATTTTGCCACGGTCAAGTGCTAAGCACTCTCCATGTTCTCCAATTTTGCCACGGTTAAGTGCCAAGCACTCTCCAATGATCTTCATGTTCTCTAGTATTCTCCATGCTCTCTAAATTTTGCCATGGTCAAGTGCTAAGCACTCTCCAAATTTTGCCATGGTCAAGTGCTAAGCACTCTCCATGTTCGCCACGGTATAGTGCTAAGCACTTTCCAATTTTTTTCAACGATAAAGTGCTAAGCACTCTCCATTTTTTCTCCATTTTTAAGTGCTCAGGACTCTCCAAATTTTACTCTAATGTCCAGTGCTAAGCATGTGGATTTTGTCCTTTTCACTTGTTTCTTTGATCCTGCTACAAGATGTTGCTCTATCTTACAACAGGCTCGGGGACTAAGTGTGTACACTTCACCTAGCAGTGAGTGTGCTGTTTTTTCTCTTACTGGTCTTTAGCTAAGCTGGGGACTGGCTATGTGCTCAGCTAAGCTGGGACTCAGTTATTCTGACTAAGCGAGCGTTGTAATTCTTTGATCCTGACACCAGATGCATTCTTCACCTACTGTCAGGCTCAGGGACTACAATGTATACATTACACCTTACGGTGCATGTATCAATACTAACATCCTCTTTGACTAAGTCATGGATGATGATCATCTGACTTCGCCAATGACGCCTAAGTGTGTACACTTCACCTAAGGTTAATGTCTCCGGCAAGCTCCGCCGTTGTTTTCTCCACCGATCAACTGGTCAAACCGCTAGGTTCATGACCTTTATCGCCAACCAGCTGGTCAGACTGTTCGGCGCTCACTTCTACTTGGTGCTCACTTCGTCGCCGACTAGTTGGTTAGGCTGCTCGGTGCTCGATTCTTCACCAACCAACTGGTCGGATTGTTCGTCGCTTCATCGTCCGCTACGCTAGGGGCTCGCCATCTAAGCTGGGGACTCCTCGGCATTCAGATTGTTCGTCGCTTCATCGTCCGCTACACTGGGGGCTCGCCAGCTAAGCTAGGGACTCCTCGGCATTTGGATTGTTCATCGCTTCATCGCCAGCTAAGCTGGGGACTCAGCATTCGAATTCTTTGTGCAAGCGTCGCCAGCTAAGCTAGGGACTCCCTTGGCGGTCGGATCTTGCTATGTTTCATCGGTGTGCTATCAGCTTGCTCCATGCTTTTTGGATCAGGGTGCTAATCTTGGGCAGCACGTCTGGGTCTTGATACGCACATGTCAGATGATGTCAACAAGCTTTTAGATTTATTTTCTTTGACCCTGCTACAAGATTCATTTTTCATCTTCCAGCAGGCTCGGGGACTAAGTGACTACACTTCACCTAGCGGTGAATGTAGTGCTCTTTTCTTGATTTACCCTCTTTATTGACTAAATCATGGATGATTCCTCACAAACGGAGTCTAAGTGGCTACACTTCGCCTAAGGTGGAGAATTTTCAAATTTTTATCTTGAGCCCCTTACATCCTTCTGGCAAGCCTTACTTTGCTAAGTCCAAGATCTGCGTACCAATTAAACTGGTCGACACTTCATTCTATTGATCGGATTACCAGTTAAACTGGTCGGCACTTCATTATGTTGATTGCATTACCAGTTAAACTGGTCGGATTGCCAGATTAACTGTCTGACTCCAAGTTAAATTGCTCGGACTTGCTCAAGACGGCGTTGGTTAGCGGATACAAGGCGCTTGGGGACTAGCTATGGGGGGTATAACCCCAGGTACCCACGGCAATAGACATGGGCCACACCACCAGGGGACATTCAGCCCATAAGATCAAGACCTATGGTGCTCAGCTCTGATTGGCGTGCACCACAAGGCAATCAGAAGACATCTTGGCGATGAAGGAAGATCTTTTCGGATATGATAGATATCGTATTCCTTGTAAATACTTACCATATAGCCGAATAGATCTAGGACTAAACCGACTTGTAACCCTACCCCCCAGGCTATATAAGATGGGTAGGGACCCCCCTCGATGGCATCTCATATTCAATACAATCCAACAAAGACATAGGACAAAGGGTATTACATCGATCAAACGGCCTAAACCTATCTAAATCGCTTGTCTCTGCGCTTATGTCATCATCCGGTTCATATCACGCGCACCTCCACTGATTTATCTACTACCTTGGGTATACCCCTCGGTAGACTGCCGACTAGATTTCGTCAACCTCCATCAATTGTAACTGCCTTAGCTATCGCAGCTGGATCTTGTGGTGCAGTGGAATCAACCTCATTCTCCACAATATTGGAAGGAACTTGGGGGATAACCAACTCCTGCAGTCAAGAAGAGCTAGTATTTTGATCATTTTCCACACCATTACCATGTTGATCAGTGTGACCTAGAACATCAGCAACAAGCTCCTGAATGCTCATCTCTGGAGGTACACTTCCAAAACTAGCACCATGTATTGACGCCTTACCATCAGCAACATTTGCAGCCTCCTTGAAAATCTATACTGGTTCCACTGTGCTATCAATCTGTACTTCAGCATTTGTTGCACTATCAGAGTGGCATAATGTTTCAATAGCTGCAACTTCTGAATTTATGAGGTCAGTCACTTCTACGGTTGTTGGGGGAGCTGAGCTATTATCTGTCTTAGGCTGCTCCAAGTTTGTCTCATTATAGTGGCATTGTGGCTCAGCATTTGCCATAACCCCTTCAGACGACGAGATCGAATCTTGACTGGTTGCACCATCAATCATTGCCAAGAGCTTTTTCTTTGGAGTTCTGATCAGAGACGTCAAGAGAGGTTGTGGAGTAATTGTTGGTGTCCTGGTGATGCATGACTCAAATAACATGGGGTCATAGGAATATATGCTTGGTCCAAGAGGGAGTGTGGTGAGAGTGTTATCCATGAGGTTGTAGCTGCTATCCTCGATGATCAACTTTGCCTTGTCAACCATGATCTGAGTGAGTGGCGTCGCGAAAGTGACATGCTTGGGTGTTGACCTCGGGCTGTCCTGTTTGCCCATTACTGTCCTCATGGTGTGTGGGGGTTCACTATTATCAAAATACCATTACAAAGGTGAGGAGGCCCTACTGTGATGTTGGGGGTCCTCAACTTGTAAGCTTCCACCCAGGTGATAGTGAATTTCATCATTGCCCTGTTGATGTCGCCTCCTGTTCAATGGTTGAGAGAGTGATTCACGGTTCCCTCGACAAGCAGATGCCCTGTGTCCCTCTTCTAGACAACGCCAGCACCTCGTCAATCTGTTGCAAAAAGCCACTCGGTGCATAGTAGAAAGGCAATCGAGACAACGTCCTCAAACATGTTTGAGAAACCTCTTCCTCCTCTCCCCTTGCTCAACAGCTCGATGACAGTGGGTAGATGAACCTCTTAAATCTCCTGACAATTTTCTCCAACGAAAATGTGACTTGGCTTTATTCCATCCTTCTTCTCTATCAAACCATGGATACCCCTCTTGAAAAGGGCAGCTAGGATGCCTTGGATGAGGAACTGTAGGCCCACAGTCCAGTGAGCGGAACAGATATGAGTGCCTGGAAGATGAAGAGGGTCCTTGATGCAGTCCCACGAACTAATGATGGTGCACATGTCGTGCCACATGCCGATCGCTGTGGGGGATATGATCCTCGGTACCCATAAAACAAGACATGGGCTGCACCATCAGAGGTGGCCTAGCCCACAAGATCAAGACGTGCACGGCACTGGTCGACGTGCACCGCAAGATATTGTATAGTACCAAATATGATATTTTCCTTGTAACCCTACCCCTCCAGAGTATATAAGGAGAGGCAGGGGTTCCCTAGTCGACATCTAATACATCTCAATGCAATACATGAGAACACAGGATGTAAGTATTACATCATACTGACGGTCGAACCTGTCTAAATCTTGTGTCTTGGTGCTTGTATTACCATCTAGTTCATATCACGCGCACCCCCACCGATTCATCTACTATCGTGGGTATACCCCTCGGTGGACTGCCGACCAGATTTTGTCGACAGTGGCGCCCACCGTGGGGCGTGTGCATGCTGATACCCTGGCGAACCAGATGGCGTACCTCAAGATCAACGTCATGTTTTCGACAAGATCGACTCTCGATTTTGTTCGGGAATTTCTTCATCATCGTCCACGACAATTTAACATAACGACGGCACCCCACCAGCAGCTTGCTACGGGTGTCTCAAAGTGATCTGCGGTAGTATGTCATCGTGCATGGAAGAGTTTATTTATTAATCTGCAATTGCCGATGTTTAGTAGTATGATCCCATGCTCCGGGTTCGTCGGGATCTCAACGGCAAAAAGCAAGTCGGCTGGACCTGCGACTTCATCTGCAGCAGTGTTTTAGATCTGATCCTATACCTCAACGAGATCGGTGTTTCGGCGAATACAAAGTCCAAGCTTCAGCCACTGCATGCATCAATGCCGAAGATTTAAACATAGCATTATGTCATCACGTGATGATATATCTAAACCGTCATGCAAAGCTTCCGTTGGACATGCAAGCATGCAAACATCTGCGTGTATATCTCGCCGTGCAGTGGACTTCATCCGGCTATGCCACGACTTCACACGTTTGTGAGCTTCTGGCCTTTGCATGGCCAACGCACTCCGACTACGCCCGGTTCGTCTACAACTTCGCGTACCTATCTGAGCTGTAAAATGAACCGTTCGAGCCATCAAGCGAGCCTCTAGGCGAGCTGCCCACGTCGCCGACCACTAATATAAGGATGACGTCGCCGGACTACTTACTCCGACCACCTGCCGCGTCTCAATGATGATCGCCGTGAAGAACGGCGCCGTGACAACCGCGACTGCCACCAAAACAACAGTTCGGAAAGCTCGAGGGTCGGGCAACTTCATCAACGTCAACCAGATAATGCCATACGCCGTCGACCAGACGTTCTGTCTAAAGCTAAGTCACGCTTTAATATTTTTCTAAATATTCTCCAATCTTCGTATATCTCCATGATATTTCTCCGAACTATTTTCTCCATATTTGTTCACCAAACGATTTTCTTTCACGTATACCATCTTAAAGATGACATACAACTAAGTCTAAGGTGAACCCCGAACAGTCATGTTGACGCTCGGATGTCCCTAGAGACAGCCCTGTCTCTGGCTCCTCCCTACACATGCACGAGAGTCTATCATCTGCGTTATGGGTGGTCGGCAGTGGCTCCTTAGCGACGCTTTGTTCTTCCTACACGCACACGGGCTCCGCGCTCCGCGTTATGGTTAACAGGCTAGCTAGGGCTGGAGACTCAGCTACACACTAACTGGTCGAGTAGTTTATATTAAATATAAATACATCTTCACACCAATTGATCGCTGAGCACATACGCTATTTCATCACCGTTACTGATTTTTCTTCGGAGTTCATATATTTTTACATCATGTACTACCAGTTCTACATATTTGTATTGCAGGATCATCGTCCAGGTGATCAGACCACCTGGTGCTCGGACTTCTCCACCGATCAACTGGTCGAACCGCTAGGTTCATGGACTTCATCGCCAACCAGTTGATCGATCAGACTGTTCGCCGGTCGCTTCTACTCAATGCTCACTTCGCCGCCGACCAGTTGACCGGACTGTTCATCACTTGTGCTTCATCATCAGCTGCGCCGGGGACTCATCGGTGCTCGGATATCACCAGCTACATTGGGGACTCCTCAGTGCTCGAACATCGCTGCGCGGGGACTCCTCGGTGTTCGGACATTGCTAGCTACGCCGAGGACTCCTCGGTGCTCGGACATCGCCAGCTACGTCGAGGACTCCTCGGTGCTCAGACATCGCCATCTACGCCGGGGACTCCTCGATGCTCGGACATCGCCAGCTACGTCGGGGACTCATCGGTGCTCGGACATCGCCAGCTACGCCGAGGACTCCTCGGTGCTCGGACATCGCCAACTACACTGAGGACTCCTCGGTGTTCGGATTCTTTGTGCAAGCGTCGCCAGCTAAGCTGAGGACTCCCTTGGTGGTCGGATCTTGCTACGTCTCATCGGTGTGCTATCAAGCTGCTCCATGTTGTTCGGATAAAGGTGCTGATCTTGGGAAGCACATCTAGGGGTCTTGATACGCGCATGTCAGATGACATTGACAAACTTTAAGACTTCTTTTCTTTGACCCTGCTACAAGATTCATTCTTCATCTTCCAGCAGGTTCAGGGACTAAGTGGCTACACTTCACCTGGCGGTGAATGTAGTGCTTATTTCTTGATTTACCCTCTTTATTGACGGAGTCTAAGTGGCTACACTTCTCCTAAGTGAAAGAATTTTCAAATTTTATCTTGAGCCCCTTACATCCTTCTAGCAAGCCTTACATGGCTAAGTTCGAGGTCTCCTAACCAGTTAAACTGGTCGGCATCGACCTTCACCGCCCAGGTCACCAGTTAAACTGGTCGGCTTCGACCTTCACCGCCCAGGTCACCAGTTAAACTGGTCGGTTTTGACTTCCACTGCTCGGATCACCAGTTAAACTAATTGGCTTCACGTCAAACTGCTCGAACTTGTTCAAGACAGCGTTGCTTAAAGGATACAAGGCACTCGGAAACTAGCTATGGAGAATATGACCCCCAGTACCCATAAGACAAGACATGGGCCTTACCATCAGAGGTGGCCTAGCCCACAAGATCAAGGCGTGCACGACACTGGTCCATGTGCACCGCAAGATATTGTATAGTACCAAATAGGATACTTTCTTTGTAACCCTACCCCTCCAGAGTATATAAGGAGAGGTAGGGGTCCCCTAGTCGACATTGAATACATCTCAATGCAATACATCAGAACATAGGATGTAGGTATTACGTCATACTGACGGCCGAACCTGTCTAAATCTTGTGTCTTAGTGCTTGTATTACCATCTAGTTCGTATCACGCGCACCCTCACTGATTCATCTACTACTATGGGTATACCCCTCGGTAGACTGCCAACCATATTTCATCGACAGTCGCCTAGATCTTTGTAGTGATTTGTTGCTTGATGGCATGGCAAAAAGTTGAGTCTGTTATAGTGCGACTTTGCTCAGTGATTTGAAATCCGTTGCCATGCTTGGTCTGAAGGTTGGGTTGTCTGGCATCAGCGTGTAGAGTGGCTCGATGCGTCTCTCTCACGTGACCCACCAGGGGGCCTTGGTCCATTGACTGATCTACAACAAACTTTCCTTTCCCCTTCTGTTTGGTTGCTTCGATGTTGAAGAGGATCTTCCAACTATGGATATGGGAATTGCTCTCTCATCCTGCGTTGGTTGGAGCTGGTGGACTCGAGCAGCTATTGTAGATCCCGAACCACCCCAAGAAGTATTGGGCGACCCACCGACGAATGTGGCCTGAAACCATCGCCCACCACGGTAAACTCTAACTGGGATGAAAACAAGCCACCCAAGACCCCTGATGTTGCAGAAACGGCGGTGAAAGACCGATGGATCAGTAGATTGGAGAAAGGCACACTCGGATCTACATGGGGCTGGGTCGGGGAGGTGGGATTAGAGTTGGACTTTTGGGGATTTTGGTGTTCAACTTTAGGAGGTGACGTGAGCGCCTTGTCACCCCCGGAGGGGCACAACGGCTCCATCCACGGGCTACATGCTTTAAAAATGAATTCAATCCGAGACTCTTTCGCAAGCGGAGGAGGCGGAGCGGCATGGTGCAGTAGGCGGAGGATGAAGTGTGGTGGAGCAGGCGAAGCGGCGCAGCTGAAAGGTCCTAAATGGCTAGAGGGGGGTGAATAGCCTATAAAAATTTCTACAAATACACTAGAGCAAGAGGTTAGTACACTAAATGGCAAAATAAAATTTCGTTCTAGCTCTACGAGGGTCGCAAGCCACCTATTCAATAATTTTAGTTGCTATGATCACTAGGCACAAATAATGGCAATGCCACTACTCACTAAGAGCTCTCAACAAGTCTACACTAAAGAGCTCCACTAGGTGATACTAAACTAGCAAGCAAGATAAGCTCTCAAAACTAATTACACTGGAGAGCTTGACAATTAGTTTGCAAGGAATGTACAAGAATGAGTATGGTAATTATACCGCCACATCGAGGAATGAACCAATCACAAGATGAATACCAATTCAATCACCGGGAGAATACCAAAGGGTAAGAGACAACTAATTTTTCTCTCGAAGTTCACGTGCTTGTTGGCATGCTAGTTCCTATTGTATCGACCAACACTTGGTGGTTCGGTGGCTAATAGGTATCACACACCTAGCCTCACCACAAGAGACGCCGCAAGAACCTACCCACAAGTGAGGTAACTCAATGACACGAGCAATTTACTAGAGCTACCTTGTGGCTCTTCGCCGGGGAAGATGCAAGACCCCTCACAATCATCGGAGCTGGCCACGAACAATCACCAACACATGTCGAAGCTCCTCCGCTGCTCCAAGCCGTCTAGGTAGTGGTAACCACCAAGAGAAATAAGAAATCCACAGCTACAACGATCCCCAAGTGCCACTAGATACAATCACTCAAGCAAATACACTAGAATCACTCACAATCTCACTATGATGATGAATCAATGATGGAGATGAGTGAGAGGTGTTTGCTTAGGCTCACAAGGATGTCAAGTATGTCAAAGTGCCAAGAGAGTAAGCCCTAAGATGGGTACCTTTCTATTTATAGAGCCCCAAAACTCAAAGAGCCATTGGGCACTCTCGGGATGACCGGACGCACCTCAGCGTCCGGTCGCCTATGGCCGTCCACGTGTCCTCGTTTGAACCAGAGCCACTCGATCTCAATGGTCATCTCCCGATCGCTCGCGCAGTCAAGAGATGATCGGACGCACCGCTGATGCGACCTGACGCATGTACACGCAGCGTCCGGTCATTTTGAGTAAAGGTCCAGAGGCGGTTTTTAATGACCGGACGCATTAGATCAGAGGCAACCTGACGCGCCCCGGTGTCCGATCCTCTCTCTTCTTCTCTATGCACGCCCGCCAAAGGTTGACTGGACATGCCAGTGCACCTGGCCCCATTGTCCGATCACTTTTGCTCAGTCTCGGTCAAACAGCGCGCCGCGCCTATAAATGACCGGACGTGCCCGGGGTGAGTCCGGTCACCCCGCGGCCAGCGTCCGGTCGTGGGCCTTCTTCTCTTTTTTTTCTAAGTCCACAACCGCTTCACCTTTGCTTCCAACTCGTTAACCACAAAGTGTAGAACTTGTGTACACGTGTGTTAGCATTTTTAAGGCATTTTACAAGGGTCAAAATTAGCACACTAGGTTACTAAATGCATATGCACGAATCATGTCACCTAGTGGCACTCAATAAACGTTTAGCTAAATATTTTCCCTTTTTATAATACGGCTATCGATCCTAAATACACTCACACCTTATATGGTGTCTTGAGTGCCAAAATAAAAATATATTTGATACATTTGACTTGATCAACCTTGTTTTTGTTTTTCTTCTTCTTTTTTTCAAGTTGGAGCTTGATCATCTTCAACACATCTTCATCTCCATGGACTTCATCACTATGCTCCATCATTTGGTATGTACCAACCTTGTTCACATGACACTCATGACAAATATTAGTACTTAAGTTTCATCGATTAGCCAAAATCAAACTAGGCTTTCAGCAGCACAACGGGTAAGCACAATCCCCTCACAAATTAACCGATCAGAGCCTCCCACAAATCACCAACAAGATGCTTGACGATCCTCGCTGGTCAAAGTTATCTTGGTGGCAGGAACCACTAAAAGTAACAAAAAAAATGCAGCCAATCAATGAACTAATGCCATTAGATGCAAACTCACTAGATCTCTTCCCAATCTCACTTTTGATCCATCACTAAGCAATAGAGTGAGTGGAAATCCCTAGCCTTATTTAAGTTAATAAATGCAATTCTCATAACAATTCTAGAGTTAGCTTAGGAGTTGGGACATATGACCCTTTTGGCTAAACAAACCAACTCGATCGCTTCCATCTCCTCCCAACAGTGTTGAGTTCCAAAAATCAATGAGTGTATGACTAGCAGCTAATAGAGCATGAATAATTTAAACCAATCAATGAGCAACTGGCCACTAGCAACTATTAACATACAGTTCTCCTTTAGTATATGTGATTATGATATCCAAGCCAACTAACGAACTCAGCTGTTAACCTATAATTCTCCCCCCTCTCTCTTTTCAAAATAGTCTTGATACGATGAATGATCAACCGTACAACTGCAGCAGTTGCAAGCGACGCTCACTGCATCTTTCCAGGGTGGACTCGCCCCCGTGGTAAAAAATGCTTGTTACATTTGATTTTACATAGTCTTTATTAATATATTTCTTTGGCCATTATTTTCTTATAAAATATATTCTTAAAGTCCTTCAATATGAGATTTTAACTGCTCTCTATTAACTCGTCTACTAATGATTTCATAGGAATTCAAAAGCGGCTGTGAATAGGAATAAAAAAAACGTATATGAGTTTCATAGGAACTATTTCATTTTCATAGAAAAAATAGTACACATATAAGGATAGGTAAAGTTGGTTGTAAAACCAAGCACACAAAACTAATGCCATTAACTTAAGATCACTTTCGATCTGCCCTTCTAAACTTTGGACCTCTAAATTTTAGAGTTAAAGTTTTCAAATAAATAATCTAATGTTAGCTCTAAACCTTAGTCCATCTCATATTAAAGTTTTAGAGCTTAAAACTGAGGTAAAATGCTCTAAAATTTTTAGAGCTCAGAAGTTTAGAGGAGTAGATCAAACGGCGCCATAGATCACATTATTTGTGGTATGTTTTTATTTGACCCGGTGACATATTTTTCAGCGTAATATTTTATATTACCAGAAATCGACATCCGCGTTCTGAAGATGAAAAATATTCAATGGTTTCATGTTACGATAATTTAGGGCATTACGCTGAACAAATTTGAGAGAGTTGAGCTGCTGCACAGCAGGCTGAAGTGCTGAACCCGGATGGTACGAGGGAGGGTGAAAATGAACGGAGACGCGTGACTGGAACGGGTGGCTTTTGCTGTCTTTCCTTGCACGTCAGCTAGCGAAGAGCTACCTCGCCCCTCCCTTATCCCCCGCCCCACCTCTCATCATTCTCAGATCTCTCCCTCCCCCTCCCTCCTTCCCTTCCTCTCTCCGAATCCTGCCCACCTCGCCGTCCTCGCATTCCGCCGCTCGCCCTTGCGGATCCGACAGCTCCTTCGTCGCCGTCGTTCTTGCCTCACCTCGTCCGCTGTCCTGGAAGCTGCTGCTGGGTCACCCGTGGCTGGACTCGACCCCGCCGCCTCTGGGGGGTGGGTTCGCTGGATGGTTGTCGCCTCCTGATCCATCCGGACCCCCGGATCCGCCGCAAAGGCACCGCCTTTGTGGGTTCTCCGCGCCCATGCAGGAGGGTTTGGCGCGTCGGCGGTGAGGCAGGGCTCTGGTTTAGTTCTTGCGTTGGACTAGTCCGGAGATGCTTCGTGGAGCTGGGCACGGGGGCGGCGATGCGCGGAGGCGGGCACTGCGCTCGTCGCGGCGGCGGCTGCCGGGGTGGATCTGGTGGCTTCTCGGGATCTTCCTCCTCGTTGGGCTCATGCTCTTCGTCCTGCACCACAACCAGAAGGAGCAGTTCCGGCCGCCCGTCGTGGTGAGTGCCGCAAACCTGGTCTTGTGTAGCTTTCAGATTGCTTAATTCTGCGAGATCTTCCGAAAGATCACCGCTTTACTGTTATTTCTGAAGAATTGTGGACAAATTAAGTGTCTTTATGCTTTTGTCACCTACTTCTGTTACGTGGGTCTCGATTAGCTCAACAATTTGTGATCTTTTAAGTGTGCGCAAGAATGCTCATGTTTTCATGTTGTAGACTTGTATTTAAACGAAGTTAATGTTATCTATGTTTGTAGAGAACGAGGTTTCGACATTAGTGTGCGAGTATGGCTGGGTGGTAGGCTCTTGAGTATCAGAGTACAATTTTGGCCCTAGATCTTTATTGCCATATTTCAGTATTGGATCCTTTGAAGGTTAGTATGTTGAGTCATGCACTTTGCCATTTTATGGAAATCTTAGTTGCCACATACTATTTCGTTGATGGTAGAAAGTGTTTTTGGTTAATCATGATTGGTTGTTAGAAATGGCAAACATGGTATGTGATTTTAGGAGTTGGTGTGGCATGATAGATAGTCTGTCCCTGTACTTTTTTGGTGATCTGTTCAAGTACTTAGGTAGGGTGTCATTCTCACATGGTGGTTTCACATCCTCCCTGTTCATAACAAATACTATCCACGTACTAGGAAGATGAGTGGTTTCTTCCATCTGGGGTGGACATGTAATGGAGAAGATCTAGTCCGTATTATACGTCAATATTCAGTACTATGTGTGATGCCATACTTTGATAACTTCAAGTGGTTATTCAGGGCCTTCTTGTTATATCTGAAGTCTGAACACTCCCAAAAGTATGGCATTTGGCTGATCATTCATAATTTCTTTTTTATTTTTCCTTTGGCGTCAAGCAACTCCCAGTAACACTTAAGCCTCTCTCCTAGTTTGTAATATTTGAATTGCATGAGTTTGAATCGCTTCAATGAATTTCTTATGATAGCAATAAGTCCTAACTGTGATACCTGCTTAATAAGTTTTTTGGAACTGCACAATTGAGATTTTAAGATGCCAAAGAGAGATCAGATGAAATCATTAATAGAATAGGATACTGGTGAGGTATATGAGAGCACTGTTGATTTTAGCTTATGGTATTGGCTTTCTTTCAGGTAAAGGCTTTGTGTTATATTTTATATAATTAAATTGATAATCAGAATATGGATTCCCATGGCAGAACGATTAAGTGCTACTGGAAACCAAGAAAATTCATTTGTTGTTATCGCTGTCAGTCTGTAGTCATTTTTAGCTTTAATGAAATATTAAGTTCTATTACACTGCCAATGTCTAGTGGTAACTTGACTATCCAAGGGGGTATTGTAAGGTGATCATTGTAAGGAAGATTTTTATGTTTGGGTTCTTATTATGACTTGATGCATGATAATCATAACTTAGAAAATCAGTTTTTTTATGACATATGAAGAGAAAATTGAATCCTGGGCATGAATGTGCTGGTCATTCTGCCGTGGCACATGGATAAATGGGAAGTGTTGTGAATGGTCTGTGCTATTGGCAATAAAGAATTAGCTTAGATAGCTTCATCAATCACTTTAGGACCATCTCAAGGTAGACTTAATCATCTCATCATCTGAAGAGGTATTGAGGGTTGTGGCCCTGAAAAAGACGTACTGGTATAAATCCTATACCAGTTTGCATCTTGAATTTCTGTAGATTGATGTTATGAATCAATCTATTAGAAGTTCCAATCATTTATTTCTTTTAACATCTGTCTGTTATGTTATTATCTTTAGAACTACATGTTGTCATCATATGAAAAAAAGGAAGCTGGTAGCAAATCATATCAATTCCCATTATACTGTTTATAGAAAAGTATTTTTGCATTTAAAGGTGAGGTTTTAACACCATATCTGATGGAATGTCAAGAATTGGCCATATCATAGTTCACAAGCAGAGAAGCTCTGTGTATCCATATATATAAGCCATATTTTCATACAGTAGTTCCTCAGGTGGTTCACATTCACTGTAAATGAAACGAAGACCAGAAATTTTGTGGGTGCTATTGGAAGCTTTTCCTTATAATTACTTAGTTCAATAAAAGATAGCACCCAGCACTTGATTATTGTCAAAGGTTTGCAAACCTGTATCTTGTTAATTTTGAATTAATTTAAATTTTAGTTCAGAAATGGCAGCTTCACACGAAGTTAGACTTTTCTTCACTGGAAAGTGATGCTGTGATGTTGGAGGTAATATCATTTTAAAAGAAAAACCTCAACAGTTGGGTTGACCTGTTTACTTGCTTTAAGAAGTATAGTACTACTGTAAAATTTAAAATGTTAATGTTTTCACATCCAATGGACTGTAGTTCAAAGATTGAGGTTTTTTCCTTCGTTTTCTCTTCTTGTATACAATCTTGATTGGCTGCTTCTGCTGTAAGCAAAAGTAACTGTTCCATTTATGAAAAATTTGCCCCTGTGCATGTTCTCATGTTTTTCTTTTGATGAATTTCAGGATAATGGTTCAGAGATCAACGAAGTCCCTCATGAGAAAGTGAATTTCTCAGAAGAGCTTTTGAGCAGCACATCATTTGCTCGCCAATTAGCTGATCAGATGACTCTAGCAAAGGCATATGTCATCCTTGCAAAAGAGCATGGTAATCTTCAGCTTGCATGGGAGCTTAGTTCACAGATAAGGAATTGTCAAAGATTGCTATCTGAAGGGGCAGTTAGTGGGAGAGCAATCACTAAAGTTGAAGCCCATCCTATAATAAGCCGGCTAGCACGGTTGATATACAAGGCTCAGGACTCTCACTATGATATCAGCACAACAATAGTGACATTGAAGAACCATGCCCTGGCACTAGAGGAGCGTGCAAAGGCAGCAATTGTGCAGAGTGCTGAGTTTGGCCAGTTAGCAGCAGAATCCTTCCCCAAAAATCTGCACTGTCTAACTGTGAAACTGACAGAGGAGTGGCTTCGGAACCCAAAGCATAGGAGTCGCTCAGAGGAGAACCGGAATTCCACACGATTGGTGGATAATAATCTGTATCATTTCTGTATATTCTCGGATAACGTGCTGGCCACTTCAGTTGTTGTCAATTCTACAGTCTCTAATGCAAATCATCCTCAACAGCTTGTGTTTCATGTGGTCACCGACAGAATCCATTTTGGCGCGATGTCAACTTGGTTCCTCATAAATGACTTCAAAGGTTGTACTGTTGAAGTCCGCTGCATAGATGAGTTCTCGTGGTTGAATGCTTCTTCATCTCCTCTTGTGAGGCAGCTATCTGAGGTGGAAACTCAGGGTTACTATTACTCAGCTGGTTCCAAGAATCCTGAAAGAGAAATAAAATTCCATAATCCAAAGTTTGTTTCTCTACTGAACCATTTACGGTTCTACATTCCTCAGATACTTCCCAACTTGGAGAAGGTGGTGTTTCTTGATGATGATGTTGTGGTGCAAAAGGATCTGACTCAGCTGTTGTCCATAGAGTTGCATGGCAATGTCATTGGAGCAGTGGAAACTTGTTTAGAGTCGTTTCATCGGTATCACAAGTATCTAAATTTTTCGCACCCAACCATCAGCTCCAAGATTGATCCACATACTTGTGGATGGGCTTTTGGAATGAACATTTTTGACTTGATAGCTTGGAGGAAGGCAAACGCCACATCATTGTATCATTATTGGCAAGAGCAAAATTCTGATCAATTGCTCTGGAGAACAGGGACTCTTCCTGCAGGTCTTTTGACATTTTACGGCCTGATGGAGCCCCTAGACCGCAGATGGCATGTCTTGGGTCTTGGGTATGATGTAGACATAGATGATCGTTTGATTGAGAGTGCTGCTGTTGTGCACTATAATGGAAACATGAAACCCTGGCTGAAGCTGGCAATTCGCCGTTACAAGTATATATGGGAGCGGTATGTGAATATCTCACACCCGTATGTTAGAGAGTGTATGTTGCATTAGAAAGTGTGCAAATCTCTGTATGTTCTTGCATGGCATTGAAGCTGTATGCTTCAGTTTCTTCACATGAGGCTGCTGTTGAGCACCTTATGTGAGGGAAAGTTTCAGAGGTAGAATATATACTCAAGGGACAGCATCAAAGAAGTCAACTGTTAAGTTTTCTTTTTGGGTTGGGAGAAGATTCATTTTGGGATGAAAATAATTCCTTTGCAGAGTTTACATACAATTTGGACTGGAAATTTTAGCAGTCTAACCAGATACATCTGGATAGATATTGTAAAAGAGATACAGTTGGATCAATGGGCAATTTTTTTTTTGAGATTTAGGAAATGCAAATTGTGAGTTCAACTGTGCAGGGTCAGTGGTGTTGCATTCTTTACTTTTAGTAATATCTTGTTTTATACTGGCGAAGAAGGTTCTTTCAGCCGCCCTCCTTGTATAAGTAGCTGTTTTAATCTGTGCTCATTCATACAGTATGAACTCAGTTGAACCGGAGAAAGGATTCTGAAATCATATTAATGTGCTTAAGTCGACTTGCTGATAATGTACCACCGATACAATAGACTTTTTGTGGCACTAGAGGCTGGACTTGTCGATGGCATTTCTAAGCCAACCTAGCTTTCATGTTTGAAACCCTTCATTGCTTCCTTTTTGTTGTGACCGCAGCAAATGCAACATTTGTTTCATTTGTTGTTTCTGGAAAGTTCGATCCATAATCTGGGCCTTAAGTCGAAACGACCTGGGGATTATTGTGACGAATGTCTTTCATCTAGGCATGTAATTCGAGTTCAACAGAAGTGAGCCGAGGAGAGGAATGAACTTAAGTCCGTGTGGTCTGGGGAGCCAGCTGTATAAACGTGTACTGATAGCTTCCTTTTTCAGATTGAGAGCGGCAGTTCTGCTCGGAAGATAGGATGCTGGATTTAACAGCCTTTTCAATGAGGTCCCATTTCATGGTTCCAGGGGATAAAAAACTTGTGGCCTATTATTTGTAGTTTGTCCTCAAGCCATCTTGATTTCACCTTTTTCTTTGAGTGTTTGTTGGCCTATTCCTTTTTCATTCCTCAGCTCTCGTCTCTTGAGAACTTATCATCTTCTGTGTTCGGTCCTATATGTTCCAGTACACCCATAGCTGATGCCCAAATCCACAGCTGAAATGAAAGATTGGGTATGAAATCAGCTACTTGGATTTGGGTTTGAATTTGGGTGAGGATGTTGGATACCAGCGACAGGCACCGATGCATGCAGAGTCATGAAATGAAAGATTGCTCAGGGGAAGTTCACGTAGGTAGATCCAGATCTGGTCGGCAGCTTAAAGCGAGGGAGTACTAATCGAAAAAGGCTTCACTTTTCATGTGCCGTCTGCAATGCTTGCGTGCTTCATGATCAAGACATCTCATGTGTTTCAGCGACACCGGATTGCATCTCCGTACCTGTGAACGGCTAAATGTGTCTCCATGTTTGTTGCCATGCAATTGCCATGAACGGTAGTGTCTGTCTCCAAGCCCGTTCAACGGGCCATTGATGAACTTCCACAACCCTATCATATTTTCTGACTAATAGGAGGTTTCGTGTTGAACCTGGCATCCTTAACAACCAGTACAGCACAAATCCTGACATGTCGAATGGATTACGGTTTGGAAAACGGCTTAGGAATCCTAAATGCAAAGCAATGGACATTCAAACTACATATATAATGCTGCTACTACCTGATTGTACTCAAACACTATACATATGCAACATGAAGTTGTCCTTGGTGTTTGCCCAAGCCCAACTGCTGCTAGCTTTGCTTGAACAAGGCCAGCTATTGGACAACCACGAGTCCGTACATCCTGGCTATCCAATAGATTACCAACTGGAAAAGGACTTAACAATAATAAGGAATCTAAATTCGGGTCAATGCTTAGTCAAGAGGTTGGCACTGCCTGCCTCTTGCAGTCTTGCTGCTAAAAGCTACTATCTTAGTCACCACTCACCGATCACCATTTTGTGGCTCACTTTACATCATGCTGACCATTACTAGCCGTTATATGGAAGCATATTGCATTTCCTCTCTCTCTCTCTCTCTCTCTCTCTCTCTCCAAAGGAAACATGCATATAGACATAACAGTGTGAAAGCATCTAGGCCCCTAGTTGGGTTTCGGTGATTAATAACAATACAAGATTACTATGACTAACGTGTGTTTTGCAGAGACAATTTAGTTAGGTCATGGTAATGGAGACCGATTGGGCAATCAAGGTGGTCATGCCCCTACGATGAAAATCGTTTCGGTTTTCAAATGATGGACGACAAGGTTAAGGATGGACTAGTTCTAAGTGTCAATTGGAGTTGGAGTGACACTTAGACTAGTTTAGGACTTTGTTTTTCTTTGGCCGTAGTATTAAGGGGGTATGGACGGGTAGCTTAACCTAGGTGAGTCTAGTGAGTTAGGTGTGGTGCACACTTGTTAAAACTAGCACTAGGTAGCTCCAAAATAGCCCTTAGATCCAATGGAGCAAACTTCATTCACATATGATCGAGAGTTGAAAGTGAATAGAGGGTCAAATCTTTGGCCGGGCCATTTGGCTCGGTTTGACCGGATATTTGGCTCGTGGTTCGGTTAGTTCATTTGACCAAGGTGATTGCGCGTCTGGTTTGATCGGTGTATGAGAGAAGTGAAGACCGGGGCCGAGAGCTGCGTCCGGTCGACTCCAGTAAGGTTCCAGAGAGAAAATCGTGACCGGACGCGTCCGATCAGTGCTGGCCGGACGCTGGCCACTGGAGTTCGGGTGTATTGACCGGAGCGTCCGATCAACATGACCGGAGCATCCGGTCACCCCGCAGAGGCACATAACGATTCGTTTTTCAGCCCATGTTATAAATAGAACCTCCACTCGTGTGTGGGGGTAATTTTGCTCATTCCAACAGCTGAGAAACACCTTAGAGAGTGCCAAGAAGAGCAAGGTCCTAATAAGGTGATTGAGATTTGATAATCCCAAAGAGAGCCCTCGTTAGTGAGATCAAGAGTAGCAAAGTGTGCATCCACCCATCTCATTAGGCTTATCGTGGTCAAGTGAGAGTTTGTGCTTGTTACTCTTGGTGATCGCCATCACCTAGACGGCTTGATGGTGATTGGGAGCTTGGTGATCATCCGGAGAGCTTGTGGATGACTCAACTCAAGTTGTGAGCGGTTGTGGGTGATTTACTGCGACGGAGTGTCAAAGAATCAACCCGTAGAGAGCATTTGATCCTTGTGTAGAACAGGGGAGCTACACCCTTGCGCGGGTGCTCCAACGAGGACTAGTGGGGAGTGGCGACTCTCCGATACCTCGGCAAAACATCGCCGCATTTCTCTCTCTCTCTCTTTACTTTGAGCATTTACTTTGAACAATTCAATTCTTGTCATTTACATTATTAGAATTGCTATGCTAGAGTAGGATTGGAACATAGGTTGCAAGTCTTTTTGTGCGGTAGAATAATTAAAAACACTTTCTAGGCATAAGGGGTTAATTGGGCTAACTATAGGATTTAATTATTGCAAAGAAATTTAGAATTAGCCCAATTCACCCCCTCTCTTGGGCATCTTGATCCTTTCAATTGGTATCAGAGCCTCGTGCTCACATATTTAGGCTTAACCGCCTAGTGAAAGATGTCTCACGGGAATGGACCTCCTCCTATCTTCGAGGGGAATGATTTTTCATATTAGAAAATCCGCATGGAGGCGTATTTAGAAGCTCTAGATGTTGGAATACTTAGAACCGCCTCACAAGGTTTCCCAAAACATCGGGATGCCGCACACCCACAAGGCGATGAGTTAAACTACGAAAAATGGAATGCAAAGGCTAGAAACACCATTTTTAGAGGCCTTTGTAAAGATGTGTTCAACCGGGTGAGGAACCACAAAGACGCCCATGCACTATGGTCGGACGTTTGTGCGCTCCATGAGGGAACAAAGAGTGAGAGTGAGGAACGCTATCATCTTGTCATGAAAAAGCTCAACTCTTTTGAAATGCTTCCTAAAGAATGTGCTAATGAAATGTATTCATGTTTGAATGTTCTTGTAGAGGAAGTCAATGGGCTTGGACTCACTCAAATGCAACCATCCGATATTGTAAGAAAGATCTTGAGTGTCCTCCCCATTGACAAATATGGGCATATTGTGACCGTGCTACATCAAGATGATCTTTCCACCGCTACACCGACACAAATATTGGGAAAGATCAATGCTCATAAGATGTACATGCACATCACATCTCAAGATGGCTCATCCTCTACAAAGAAGAAAGAAAAAGACTTAGCATTCAAGGTTAGCCAAGAGAAGGGCAAAGCAAGACTTGAGTATGAGAGCTCAAGTGATGATGAAGTCGATGATGAAAGTCTTGCTCTCATGGTGAAGAAAACCGCCAAGATGCTAAAGAAGCTCAACAAGAGTGGCATCAAGTTTGATGGCAAGAAGAAAAAGTTCTTCACTAGCTCTAGAAGGAAGCCAATCTCCGAGATGGATTGCTACAATTATGGAGAACTTGGTCATCTAGCTCACCAATGCACAAAGCCTAAGAAAGACAAGTTCAAGAACAAGAACAAGGGCAAGAAAGATGACTCAAGCAATGAAGATGAAGATGAGAAGAAAAAGAACAAGCCATACAAGAAGAGAGATGGCAAGAAGAAGGACTTCCACAAGAAGAAGAAGAGTGGAAAGGCTTACATCGACGGTGATTGGCTCACGGACATTGATTCATCTAGTGGATCATCCGATGATGATAGTGACGACGAGAAGGTGGCCGCTATTGTTATTGATTCTTCATCATCTTCACCGCCACCACCGCCATCATCCTCTACACACCTATGCCTTATGGCCAAAGGAGAATGAAAGGTATCACATGATGATGATAGTAGTGGTGATGATCATGCTCATAATGATGATAGTGATAGTGATAGCGATGATGATGAATATGAATCACCTTCTTATGATGATCTTGCTAAATTGCTAAAGAAATACACTAAGATTATTATAAAGACTAGA